GGAGAAAATCCAGCATATTCTCTGTCTAATTTTTCCAAGCAAAATTCAAGACTGTACTTGAAGAGCTCATGTTTCTGGGTGACTGGTTGAGCTGCAAAGTCCTCGAGTGGAATCCACTGCATGAAACAAAACAATGTCCCAAATTTGTGGTGAATGCATGACCCAATCCCCTCTAGAATATATGAAATAATCTGAATTCCAGTATACGTATGAAAAGTAACAATTGCTTAAGTTCACATTATTATCCAAATGCTACCTTGGCTGCCTCAATCTCCAGTTCTTGCTTTTGGATGTCAAAGGATAGAGGACGCAGAATGCACACAAAGAATAGATCCGACTTCTCAAAGAATGCCTTGTGTGCTTGCCTAAATGTAACAAAAACGACGAATGTATCATGATATTTGTAGTTCAACAAATTTGGTATTTATTAGAAGAAAAGCCTCTGATGAAGCCAAATAACTGTATAAAAAACACTTTGCAACCAAATTCCAGAGTCACGGTAGAGGTACTCTCATAGGATTTTCATTCATCAGGAGCCTGGCTTGAGTTATGTAATGAATGAGCAGAGTCACAGATGGAGTTGGAGCCAGACCTGATTAGTGAAATAATCACTTGCTTAATCTAAAGCGTGCATTTGAACTATTTCCATTTTTTTCAATTTAAAGCCAAAAATCTAATGATCGATGGCTATGGTTTAGCATTTCCAGAAAGCAGACTATAGAAAGGGTGGTACGATCAATTTCCAGATTAATTAAGCAGCAAGAGAACATTTGGTTGTACCACTCTTGCTCATTGCAAAATTATAAGTCATTTACTATAGGACAAAAAGTATTACACAAGAAGCAAATAGAATTACACAAATGACAACAGAACACTGCATGAGGGTGGTGTGAACCCGTTAATTATGTGATTGAGACTGTTAACGTCAACGTTTAAAGGGAGCCCCCTTCAGTCACATCCTTGATAGCCAGTGGTTTTGGTTCACAGGTAAGGTTACTAGGAGAATCTGGTTCAGTTTTCAGCTTCTAATCACGTTTTGCGACTCTTTTCTGACATGTATGACTTGGTTTTTCCCTCTCCAGTCAAGTTTCATATGATAAATTTCCATTAAAACGTACATGACTCAAGCGTGAGAGAACTTGTACCTGAATGCTAATATCTCCAGAAATTCTGCGTCAATCTGAAGAAGTTAAAACTAGTGATCTTCATTACACCATAAATATTGGTAACATAAATGCAATACATGAACAGTATACATTGAAACTTACTCCTGTTTCTTCTTTAACTTCTCTTACAGCTGCCGCAAATATATCCTCACCCTGCAATTGAAGGGCTCCATTAATGTCCAATATACTCAAGACCATCACAGTATTGAACAACTAAAAGTACTCACGACCATAGGGTACATACCTCATCAACGACTCCAGTCGGGATTTTCCACACCCCTGTTCCTTGGAACCTGCCACTCTTTTCCTGGACTACAAGCATCTATGCAGAAGAAAACTTATTTCAAAACCAACAACAAATGACGACAAGGTTGTTAAAACTGAAGGCATGATAAGCCTACTGTATCAAAACACAGAAGAACAAGGGCGATGAAGTAAACCAAATTCGGAGTGAAAGAACTTGAAGGCCCATGGAATTGTGAGACAATTTATTAATTATCCAATTTGAACCATTGCTCAATCATAAAGAGACCAACAGCTATTCAGCGTTTTGATTTTATCCCAACAGCTAATAAATAAGTAGATAAGAGGGAGTACCTCTTTTTTATCATTCAAAACAATAGCACCGATGCCTACTCGGTGTGATGCATTTGCAGGTAGAGTATTATTAATTTCAGGAATCCAATAAACAAGCATGAGGTAGTGCGGCTCAGCATGATGGTACCGAAAACCTTCCTGCCCTCAGCATAATAAATTGAAGCCAAGTCAACACATTTATTCAGGTTAATGGACAGAATATGGCATAATGTCATCAAATCATGTGGATGTACCTTAATTCACTGATTGTTATTATTATTTTTTAATAAAGAATATAAAAAGAAATCAATGCCGAAATTTAGTTTCTTCAAGTTAAAACCTACCGTGCCAGAAACTACGTAGAGTATCAGGTTCTTTGTTCCCCTTTTGCTTTATATATACACATTTCTCAAAGTTATGTACTGTATAGAGTTTCAGTTCACATATCGTTCCAAGCTCTAAGTAGGCTCATAGCTTCATTTTATTTTTCTACGAGACACAAATCTTGCTTTTTTGTGATAAACAATTGCAACATAGAAAATCCTATGCAAAGTATATGAGAATCAAACAACCACAGCACTTTCGTAGATTTATAAACCACATCATATATGATCCGTGGCATACTGGACATAGTCAAAGCAACATATTGTTGTCAAGAAAGTCTGCTAGTTCCTCAGATGGTCATGTTCCCTTTCTAATGCAGATTGCAGCTCACAACCAGCCTTCTGCATTGAAATCACACAAATTTGCACGGAGACAATTAGGCTGAATAGAAGATATTGTAATGCAGAGCAATTACCTTAACTGCAGTTTCGACAAGATTTACAAGTTCAATAGGCAATTTTATCCACACACCCTTCTTTCCCTGCATAGTGGATATGAAAAAGTATTGCAAGGAAGAAAGAAAGGATTAGAATATCCATCAAGAGAGAAAAAAACACTGTTGACAAATTCAGTAATGTCTATCAAACAGCTGGTATACTGAATTATTCGATCAACATCATACATTGCACTAAAAGGACTTTACCTCCTACAATGTACTCAACTTCCTAACCAACATCAAAAGGAATTTTTTAAAGATGTTAGCAAACCAATGTCAAATTGTCAAATTTTGAGAACGAGCAGTTTATCCAAAATTCAAATGTTGAGAATACCATTTGAAAGTCTCTTACACCAAAGGCGACAAGAATAGAACTGAATGCATTATATTCGTGACGATTGGTTTATCAATTTATGCACAAACCAAAATTGTTATCTTATTAAGCTGGATTACACCATATTCTCTGACATATTGAATGGTACACACACAGAGATTCTAGCTACAACAGCGGATCAAGGATTAGGATTTGAAGAGTTGGAAGCATCTAAGAGATTGCAACAGCAGCGAATCTGACCAGTTGGAAAACATGAGGAAAGGAAGAGATGTGGAGAAGAACAAGAAGAAGAAAAAAAGAATAGTATTGATATCTCATAATTTAAGTCTGTCTCCAAAAGAGTTTCATCTGAGAAAGCATATAGAAAAGCCAATCCAAAACCAAGTCAAACTGAAATCCCTAAATTACGATCTCCAACACCTAAGAAACTCAATCCAATCCACAATGGCATGTATCACTGAAATTTATACTAGATTAAAAGGTGCTGAATCTGCATAAATGTGAAACTAAAGAGCAATAACAACAATTAGTTACTCAAACAACCTTGGTTTACAGAATTAGAAAACACACCATATAGTCAAATAGAATAGGTCATCAAACTATTAAACCAAGATTGTCTAATGAACAAGATCATATCCAACAAAAAGCATAGACAGCGGTACCTCTTCCCTCCATTGTGAGATTGAAGCCCTAAGCAACGTAAGGAAGTCCCGAGGGTCCATAGTATCCTTCATGTCTACAATAACTCCTCCATGGGCATCATTGGTTGCAGGTAGTAAATCAACATGCAGAATTCCAGTTTTACAGACCTGGCACGATGAATTTACAGAAATCGACATTGTTCCAAACACAAAAGGAGTCACAAAGACCACAAAACCTGAAAGAAAACATGAGAGAAACAGAAGAAAAAAAAATCAAAACTAAGTTACACCTCAAGTATACAACAATTGTTTTCTCAAAACCTAATTTCCTAATCGAAATAGAATCAAATAACAGCAGGTGATGAAATGTGATTTTTGACTTTCCTACCGACTGTATTATCTGTGTAGGTGATGAAACTGTATGAATGTTACCTAAACAACGTTTAGATTTTATTAAGCAATTAAAATACATGAAATAAACATGTTGGAATAATGGTAGGCTAGTCAATTTTCTTGTTCAAAGTTAGGCAAGTTAGGTTAGTCAAGCAAGATAGGTAAGTTAGGCAAAATTAGGCTTATGTTCTTTTTCTTCCCTATATATATGTTTCATCTTGTAATTGTTTCATCAAGCAAATATACAAAACCATCTTCAACACTTCTCTCTCATGGCTTAAACCCTAGAACCCACGAAACCCTAGCAAGTTCATATTTTATCATGGTATCAGAGCAAGAGAGTGTACATGATATAAATGATAGCCCTGAAGTCGTACGGAGGGTTTTGGAGGACGTTTGGAGTGGCGAATGGCAAGGGGAAGAGGGGAGGGAGCAGGCTCGGTGATGAGAGGGTCCGAGGAAGGGTTGGTGGCATGGATAGGGGGTGTGACTTGGTTTGGGTCGTGCGGTGGGTCGTGTGGTGTGTCGTGGGATGGAAGGGGGATGGTAGTGGTGGTAGGGGCAGGTGAGTCGATGGTAGTATCAAGGGGAAGGGGGAGAACAACACTGTCAGGTTGGTGATCTGGGGGTTGGGAAGCAAAGGGAAAGGTGTCCTCATGAAAGATCACATCACGGGAGGTGGAGAATTTGTGGGTAGTGAGATCATAAACACGGTACCCCTTTTGACCAAGAGGATATCCAACAAATATGCATTTCCGAGCACGTTGATCAAACTTGTGTGTGGGAGTGAGATTTGTGGCATAGCATAAGCAACCAAACACACGTAAGTGATGAAAATCTGGAGGTGTACAATGTAAAAGCTCAAATGGGGTTTTGTGATGGAGGAGTGGTGTTGGTAAGCGATTGATTAAATACCATGCCGTTTGAACACTTTCCCCCCAAAAAATTAAAGGTAAATTGGCTTGAAAAAGAAGTGCTCGCCCAACGTTTAAAAGATGGCGATGTTTTCTTTCAACGACCCCATTTTGTTGGGGAGTAGAAGGACAAGAAGTGTGAAACACAATACCCTTGCTATCAAAAAAGGAACGTAAAGAAATGAATTCAGCCCCATTATCTGCCCTAATCGTCTTGATCATGCGATTGAATTGTGTTTGAACCCAAGCAATAAAAGAACGTAACAACCCTTGTGTTTCAGATTTTAAACGCATAAGATGGATCCAAGTAAATCGTGAATAATCATCAACAATAGTCAAAAAATATCTAGCCCCCGAATGAGAATTGACTCGATGAGGTCCCCAAATATCACAATGTATTAAATCAAAAGGTGCTTGAGATGAAATAAAGCTTGACGGAAAAGACAAACGAGTTTGTTTAGCAAGGGGACAAATGTCACACAAATGGCTAGAATCAAACATAATAGTTGGAACTTGCTTGGTCAAAAGTTGTAAGGGACCGGTGGAGGGATGTCCTAACCGTCGGTGCCAAAGGTTTGAATGACGGTTGACATTGTGAGCTAAATGAGGATTTTGTGTTGACGACAAGTAATAGAGCCCATTATATCGCTTGCCCAGGCCAATCGTCCTCCTCGTAGCCATGTCCTGTATCACACAAAAGGTAGGAAAGAAAATCACTATGCATTGTAGAGACTCAGTGAGTTTGCTAACGGATAACAAATAAACTTGAAAATTTGGAACATGTAACACATCATCAAGTTTAAGAAGAGGAGTTGCTTGGACGGAACCAACAGATTCTATAATGGCTTTTCCCCCATTCGGCATTTGTACATAATCACACATAGATTTCTTGTGAAGCAAGTGAGGTGAAGGGGATATATGATCCGTTACCCCACTATCAATGATCCAATATAGGTTTTTCTGTGGTAAGACTCCTGACATTTTAGACAGAGGTGTAAGAGTACCTGTGGCGTTTGCAAAATGGTGAGGATTACCATCCAAGTTGTTTTTCTTGAGCATGGCCATGATTTGGTTGTACTCTTCAGGAGTGAACTTGGGGCTGTCACCGTTGGTTTCATGATGGTGCTGATCCGTGACTGTGGCGACTTCACTGCCAGTCTTTGTTTGATTAGCCGCAGGTTTCTTCCTGTTAGGAGGAATCATCTTTTTGCCATGGTATTTGTGCCCCGGTGGAAAGCCATTGAGATAGAAACACCGATCTACGGTATGATATTTTTTATCACAATATGAGCATTTAATAGAGGAGTTACCTCGTTGTGCAGCAGATTCCCTATGGCTTGTCAAATGCATCGCATGCAAACTGTTGTTATGACGAGTGAGAGATACCTCCACTTGTTTCTCTTGTTGTAAAACAAGAGAGTATGCCTTCCGAGTGTCGGGAAGTGGCTGTATCAACAAGATTTGCCCACGTACTGCGGCATAGGACTCGTTTAATCCCATGAGAAACTGCATCACTCTTTCCTTTTCATCACGTTCATTGATCTTCTTCAAACCCCCACAAGTGCATGTTGAGGGCTCATGATAGGACGTCAATTCATCCCACAATGCCTTTAGTTTGGTGTAGTAGACTAAGATCGATTGTTGCTCCTGTCTGTGCTCAACAATTTCTCTCTTAATTTGAAGGAACAATTTCTCTATTTCCTTGTCCTTGCGACGTGTGAGCTTACATGGATGAAATACTTGTTGGCTGATTTACGAGTTGATCATCATGTGCCAGCAAAACTGCATTGTGACAATCAAGCAGCTCTTCATATAGCAGCCAATCCCGTGTTCCACGAGCGTACCAAACACATAGAAATCGATTGCCATGTTGTTTGTGAACGTATTCAATCAGGGGTTATCACGACAGCCTACGTTCGTACTGGAGCACAATTGGCTGATATATTTACCAAGCCGCTTGGACAAGGGATGTTTCACTCATTACTTGGCAAGATGGGTGTGATTGACATTCACATTCCACCTTGAGGGGGAGTATTAAGCAATTAAAATACATGAAATAAACATGTTGGAATAATGGTAGGCTAGTCAATTTTCTTGTTCAAAGTTAGGCAAGTTAGGTTAGTCAAGCAAGATTTACAAGTTAGGCAAAATTAGGCTTATGTTCTTTTTCTTCCCTATATATATGTTTCATCTTGTAATTGTTTCATCAAGCAAATATACAAAAGCATCTTCAACACTTCTCTCTCATGGCTTAAACCCTAGAACCCACGAAACCCTAGCAAGTTCATATTTTATCAGATTTGAGTAGTGAAGTATGGCTGCCTACCATAGTAATTTCATGAATAATCGCTGAACAGATATAAGAAGCTCGAAACTCAGATAAGAAAATACACAGAACAGTACTTAAATTAAGGATGAAATGAGCATGAAAACTACGAGAGTTCTATAGTCCCCCAGTATTTAGAACTCCAGACTTTCTAACCGTTAGGTCTTTATTTTTTTATTTTTTATTTTTTAACTAAAGCTCCGACGTTTAAAAAACCCAAAGACTCCGAAACACCATAAAATTAGAGAAAAACTTACTTGTGGACTACAAGACTTCCACTTTATGGTCACTCTGTTGTGTTGTGCGTTCAACTCCAAGTCTCTCTTTCCAGTTGTTGGCGTCCGGGTTTTTATAGTGGCAAGTTTGCGGACGCGGGAAAACTACCCTGCGACGAAGTGGGTAGTGACGTAGTTCCACTTGTTTCAAGGACCAATAGGAAATTTAAGGGTGGGGGGCTCACCATTTTTGATAGTGTGTAGGGAAGAGTGGCGGACGTCGACGTTCGCAGCCGCCCGGTTAATTAGGGGGGGGTGTACGGTGGAACCATCAAGTATATGATCGACTTGGCATGCATTTGGGTTGAAGTGTGAACAAATCCCACTTACACTTCAGTTTTTGAGTGAGTTAGGATTCAATCGTGATGGTTACGAAAAAATTTAGGGTGCTTTAAATTTTGGCCCATACAACTCATGATTTCTAGATAAAAATCCATTTATCTTTAAACCTCCAATAAAAATTCAAGTTTAAAATTTGCAGCCACATAAGAGTATTATTGGCCTAGCAATACAATTTATTGACACCCATGTCACTCATACTTTCTTGTCCATTTTTCAAATCTCTAAATTTATGCCAAATTAAAAGTAGCAAAAAAGTTTATATTGTATTGCATTAATTGTATTCATATCATACCACAAATTTACCTTTTTTTTGTGATATAGTTTGCATATTAATTATATCCGCATTAATTGGGAGGTAAATTAATTTATTCCAATTATTAAAAAAATTATATAATATATTTTGAATCGTCTAACATTTCTCTAACTTGCATTAATTATATCCATATTAATTGAGAGGTAAATTATTGTATATACATTATTTTGAATCAAACTGTGACATCCCACATCGTCCAGGGGAGTGATCCTTACATGTATATTCCCATCTTTACCTAGCACGAGCCTTTTGGGAGCTCACTGGCTTCGGGTTCCATGGGAACTCTGAAGTTAAGCGGGAAGTGATTTGCCCCGGGCCGGGATGTGACATTTGGTATCAGAGCCAAACCCTGGCTGCCTGTGTGCCAACGAGGACGTCGGGCCCTTGAGGGGGGTGGATTGTGACATCCCACATCGCCCAGGGGAGTGATCCTTACATGTATATTCCCATCCTTACCTAGCACGAGGCCTTTTGGGAGCTCACTGGCTTCGGGTTCCATAGGAACTTCGAAGTTAAGCGAGATGGGGCTAGAGCACTCCCAGGATGGGTAACCCACTGGGAAGTTGCTCGTGAGTTCCCAAAAACAAAACCGTGAGGGAATGGTAAGCCCAAAGCGGACAATATCGTGCTATGGTGGTGAAGCGGGCCCGGGAAGTGATCCGCCCCGGGCATTGTGACATCCCACATCACCCAGGGGAGTGATCCTTACATGTATATTCCCATCCTTACCTAGCACGAGGCCTTTGGGAGCTCACTAGCTTCGAGTTCCATAGGAACTTCGAAGTTAAGGGAGATGGGGCTAGAGCACTCCCAGGATGGGTGACCCACTGGGAAATTGCTCGTGAGTTCCCAAAAACAAAACCGTGAGGGAATGGTAAGCCCAAAGTAGACAATATCGTGCTACGGTGGTGGAGCGGGCCTGGGAAGTGATCCGCCCCGGGCCGGGATGTGACAATTGGTATCAGAGCCAAACCATGGCTGCCTGTGTGCCGACGAGGACGTTGGGCCCTTGAGGGGGGTGGATTGTGACATCCCACATCGCCCAGGGGAGTGATCCTTACATGTATATTCCCATCCTTACCTAGCACGAGGCCTTTTGGGAGCTCACTAGCTTCGGGTTCCATAGGAACTTCGAAGTTAAGCGAGATGGGGCTAAAGCACTCCCAGGATGGGTGACCCACTGGGAAGTTGCTCGTGAGTTCCCAAAAACAAAACCGTGAGGGAATGGTAAGCCCAAAGCGGACAATATCGTGCTACGGTGGTGGAGTGGGCCCGGGAAGTGATCCGCCCCGGGGCGGGATGTGACACAAACAATAGGTAAATTATTCTTGTAAAAATTATATTGTAGATACATTACTTTGGTTAAAAATAAAAAAAATAAAAAATAAAAAATAAAAAAAAACACAATAGGTAAAATAAAAATCATAAACAAAAGCAGTAGATACATTATATTTGTAAAAATTATATTGTAGATACATTATTTTGGTAAAAAGAAATTAAAAAAAAAACAATAGGTAAATTAAAATTCACAAACAAAAAGTAGTGGATACATTATTTTTAATCAAACTACATTCCCTTATTTTGTGGATTTTTGTGGATGATTCCATATGTGGACACATTTTATTACTAATACATATGTGCACATATTTACCTATATTGTTATTTAAAATATAAGTAAATTAATTTTGAATCAAATAGCATTCCTTTAAATATTTTGCATATATTATTACATAAACTGAGAAAATTTTATCATTGATACATATGTTTAAATAATTTACCTATATGTTTTTTTTTCTTTTTAGGGGGACAACTGGTGGCAAGTCACGGTTATCTACCTCTTCTGGGGACCGGGAAGACTCACAGAGACATTTTAGCCTCCTTCTGGCCACAAGTCTAGCTACCACACCAGCAGCGAATTTCGAACTCAAGACCACCAATTTGTAGTGCCCTTTCAGATTTTCATTTTGTAAGTGATAAACAATTACGAGTCTTAAGAAAAGTATAGCATTAATGTTTCTTTTATTTTTATTTGGCTTTTTAGCCAAAATGGTCCCTGAGAATTGCATAACTCCTCACTTTGGTCCCTGAGATTTGAAATCAATAGAAGTAGTTCCTGAGTTTGTCCACCATCAATCATTTTGGTCATTCCATGAAAAATTATGTTAAATAAGGAGCAAGATAACAAAAATACCCACAATTTAATGAACAATGGACCAAATGATTTGACAAAAATTGAGGGTATTTTTATCATACTAGCCTTATTTAATGAAGATTTTTCATGGAAAGACCAAAATGATTGATGGTGGACAAACTCAAAGACTGTTTCTATTGATTTCAAATCTCAGGAACCAAAGTGAGGAGTTATACAAATCTCAGGGACCATTTTGGCTAAAAAGCCTTTTTATATTTGATAGAAGCATCAATCTCTAATTTGTTATACTATGCAATAAATCTAAACATTAATGCATTTTTTAGAATCATTAACCTTTCCCTCCAAATCTGCACAATTACCATTAAAATTGTAATTAGGGGTATTTTAGTCATCCAAAAAATGCAAAATGTGTGAAGTCAAACCCAATTAATGAATTTGATTATGTGGAGCCTAGTCACTAGATTTTATTCAGATAAAAATACTATGTCGTGTTTTATGTAAAATTTATTCAGTGGCTAAAGTCATATTTTCTGTAAAATTTATCTCTAATCATGCTGTTTATTCTTAAATTAAATTTTAAATAAAACCAATGTAAAATGGACCTCACAAACTTTCTTTTTAAATGCAAAAACACTTAATGAATTTTCTTTAATCATAAAGACAAGGTGCGGAGACAGCATCGTATTTAAGTGAATGTTTGGTGGCATCAACAAATGATTTTTCACATAGTTATCGGTTCTATGAGGAAACAATTGTCGATGCCACCAAACTTCAGCTCAAATATGATATTATCACTGCACCCAAGCTTCAACGTATTAACGATATTGCCACAACTCCTTTGTATTTATCTTTATTGTGGAACCATGATTTTTCAAGGCTGGAGTACTGTAGATCAGAATATGAACACCTCAGAAGTCCCATCATGGACTCAACAACTTCCACAAAGTTCCACAAGCGGATCAGCTATGCCACCATCATTCTGTTCCAGAGCAGTGGGCGAAGTCTGACAACTTTGTTGAGATTGACCATGCTTATTCCGCAAGACACAAAAACATAATCCAGTAAAGAACCAATCAGTTTCCTATATTCTTGAAATTCCTTAAATTTAGGGATTGGCGTGCATCACAAGTAATCCAACTCCTAAGACCAACTCCAATTGTGGATTAAAACTCAAAATTAAGTTTTAAACTCGTCCAAATCTTCAATCATTGAGC